ATGAAATGTAAGCTAGACAGTATTCTATTACTTCCCGTTGACTTTATTACAAACGGGAAGTTTTTGGAATTATTTTAAAAAAAAACTTTTGTCCAGGATCTGAATTGGGCTTATGTAAGAGAAAATAGTGGAACAGACAGGGAGGTTTCTGGTCCAGGCTTTGAGATATGTCAATTTCACATAAGTTATTCATAGATGGTCGTAACCAGACCACGCACCCCATACATGTGTAGCCGACGCCCTGAATTTCCCTCTCTGTCCCATTATTTTCTCTTGGTTAAGGTTATTTGTCATAAAAATCAGTTCACCAGCCCCAACGACCCAAAGTGTTTTTCATTGGGCTTTGAAAATATTTCACTCATCACAGATGAGTTTGCAGGAAGCTTGTAAGAATTCTCTAAAAGTAATTGACAACTTTACCTTTTCAAAGGCAGCACGTTTAACTCGTGGAAAACAGCGATGAACTGGTAACGCCTAACTTCCCTTATACGCTTTTATAGAATACCAATCCATTTAAGCGCAAATTACGGGCTCTTGACTATCCCTTAATCGAACTGGAGGCGAACAATACCGAAGTTGTTTCTATTTCTAAAATCATCATTGACAAAAATAAATTTACATAATATTATTTCCCGTCATTAAGCGTCATTCATTCCATCCAAGAGTAATTAGTCCTCTTTGATCAAACGCTGAACATCAGGACTCAAATATTTGTTTCATTAAGCACCAATTAAAGATGCCGCCAATCAGTAAGAAATACTGTTAAAGGGCTAGTCTGTTATAAAACCGCTGAGGAAATATCATAACGCAGATGGATGGTTTCTCGCGGGGAATTAGCTAATCGCAAAAGTAAACTTATTTAATTTATTTTCAAAGTTTTCCCTTAAAAAACTTACCAGTTTAGCAGTTTGACGCAGCTGCTCATTTACTACCCAATGGGCTTCTTTTAAGTAATCGATGTTTAATTTTTCACGTTGACCTCAAGAGTTTGAACTTGCTTTTCCGTTAGCTTTTGCTCAGAGTCTGCCTCAAAACGGTTGTTATATTGCCTATCGTTCTAAATTCCTTGAAAAAGAGTTTCTTCATTTTTTTAATTTAGCCTACTTATCATTTACTTTTAAAGTTATATTCAATACTCAAGCTTAAGGTGGTTCTTCCTGTGAACAACTTTTGTTTTCATGTTCTGTAATGAATTTGTACTAAACCGACCACTTTAATTCATTCCCCGAAAGGGCGGTAGGTTAAGTGCAATACCCCCCCCCCCCCCTTAGTTAAATTTGATTAACTCGGCTGGTGTTGTTTCATTCGTAAACTATCAGCTGGACAGCCTAGATGGTGGTACCCTTATAACAAATGGCCAAGTTAGTTCTGAGCCAGTCACCCCTGCAAAGGGATGTTAAAAAGATCGATAAAGTGGATTCCAGACACGGCAAAAAACCAGCGTTCACCGTACGGAAAACGAAGATTGAATTCACGGAAAACGCGGCAAAATTCAAACGTTTACTCATATTTTTTGTACGGAAAATCCAACGTTTTCTGTGCGTTTTCGCATCGGTGAATCCCAGTATTCGTTCCATTATACGGTAGTTTTCCTTCGCGGTAAATGCAGGTAAACAAATCATTTTCCGGCATTAACCGCTCGGTTAACGCACTACAAACAGCTTGTTTTCCTTTTGTTCATTGGCATTTTCCCGATGCACAACAACGTATTCAACGGAGTTAGCGGCTGAAAACACGCATTTTCCTGGAAGATTAATGTGTGTAAATGCAAGAAAACGTAATGATTTCCTGTGTTTGCCGTTTGTATAGCGCATAGAAAATGCCATGTTTTCTTCTGTTCTAGATGTATGATTGTGTTGAGGAAATAAAGTCCACCTTTTCTATAAAAAAAAAACTCTTCAATTTTGACATCGCTATCTGGACTCGGTTGTAAATCTCATCATTGTGTGGTCAGGCATTTATTCGGTGAGGAAACTCTGTTGGTTTCGTGAAGACAACTTTCTGTTCTTCTCAAGTAACATGACAGACGGGGAATTACTCAAAATATTCACAATAACGGTAGGGCTTTCCTTTGTCTCTGGGGAAGTACTCGCTTGCTGCGCAAAATCTAATCACGGCTGTTGACTATCGTTAGGACAATAACTTCAGCATCATGAATTTGGCTCCAAGGTAGGTTTAATATCACACTCAAGTCTGACTGAGTTTAACTTGTGGTGACCAAAAATTGCTTTTGAGGGCAGTTCTATTTAAGCTTAGGTTACAATGCTAGCCGATTAGGTAATGTCATTAGAAAGTCAAACCTAAGAATTATTTAACACATTCTAGTAGCAACGATTGGCCGGAAAGGAATTTCGCCTCCTTACAGAAAATAGGCCAAGACAGGTGGCGGTTACAGTTACAGTTACAAAAACTGTCCACGGCTAAAAGAATAACAATTAGTTGCTTAGCGATTTCCATGCTGAAATCAAAAGGCTCCTACGTTCAATTTTCTGTTTTTGTCAGCTCAAGCGAAAATACATTGAATAACTAGAATTCTATCGTTACAGTTTTATGTTTATAGCCTGTGCAAGGATGATGTGGCAAAACAAAAGATCTCATGAGCAGAAAAATAACTCGACACGTGAGTTTTAAAAATTTGTACATTTCTTCGTCGTCCTCTGTACAACAACATCAACGTGAAATCACCAAAATTTGCGTGGTCTGAGATCAAAAACCCCAACTGCAAATCATTTAAGTTTCTATTTGGAACTAAACGCTGCTCAGATACTTTGTGTTGAAGTTGAGGTTTGGTGCCGTAACAGACGGTAAACACAACCAGCCATTCGCGAAATTCCAACTACAAACACTAATTCTTTTAAATTTACGTCTTCCTCAGCGTTGCAGTCCTGACGACTGAAGGTCCCCAATGATCTCGTTGAGTGAGAACACCTCATCAGCTTTACCTCAAATTTTCAAGGAAAATGCGCTTCTTTGAATTGTCAAAGAAAAATGTAAAACATATAAAAAAAATTTTCAGCTTTATCAGTAATCTCGCCTTGTTTTACATCAAAGATACGTGGAAGGGTTTAGATTCTTGAAAATGATGTCAACATTGCTGTGCATGGTGCAGTTGCTCCGGACGAGCTCCAAGAAACTTGTTGCACTCCTAAGCTTCCACCTCTCTATGGCTCTGAAGAAAAACAATACTTGTACAGGAATTCTCAGGTAAGCTAGTCACAATTGCTTTGTTAATATTCTTCCAATTGACTATAGGAAATTTAAGCAACGGGAATTCTCGGCTAAACTTAACGAGAACTATGCATACTTTGAGATATCACACCATTGTGGCTTAATAGGAACCAGAGAGGACAAGCGCGCGTAACGTAAGAAGCCTTTGACTTTTATAACATTTCAACCAAAAATGTTTGTTGACCGTTATAGTATTGAAAAGTAAATGAGCTTAACCTGAACATGCTATATAAATGCGTGCTCACTTAATAATAATTGGTAAAGACCAAAATAAGATCAGGCGTTATTGGACGGGTAGCAGTAGTCTATAAATAAGAATTGTAGTTTTAAGTGAGCAAACTGGCTATTATAAACTCTCCGATCTTTACAAACACATCCCCATTGAAAAACAGTCAGTTTATCAAACCAAGAAATAAAAGATTTTTTAACCTTTCTAAAAAGGATGGAATGATTCAGGAACTTAAATGAATATTTTGCCCCTTATAATTTGCATCGCCTTTCATTTCAAAGCAAGAGGACTTAAATAGGGTTTGGTTAGCTCTAAAATAAAGTTTTATCTGCAATCAGAGATGCTCAGTCAATTGGTTCTGAAAAATGAGCTCCTCGTTCGAAAACAGCTCTGCACTAGAAACAAGGTCTTCAATCGCCTCGAGGCTCTGTACAGAAAATCGTCTCTTTCGATTGCATTTAGGAACAAGTCTCTGTAAGAATCAAACATCTTGGGAAATGAAAATTTTCAACACCCCTTCAAATTTTGCATGTAGTTAGGCACTTAGGGGGGATGCACAAAAACGCCCTTTTTAAAGGTCGCAGCACTCTTGTTGCCATGGTAACAACGGCTGCTTGTTCGAGGTCTGGGGCCTCATTTTCATACAAAAACGTCGCAAAAAAAGAGTGAAATGTTTATTTCTCTATCTCAAGCTGAATAGAACATTATAAATTGGCACTTCTACCAAATATAGTGACGTCATTCGTCTTCACTTTGATTTATTCAATTTTCCCTGGGAGTGAACGTGAACACACCAATAGATTATTCATCTCGGTACAGTTTCGGTCATTTTTGTTGTCGGGTAAAACAGGGAAAACGTTTATCTGAATGTCTCCAAAAGTACACCGATTCTGGAACTAAAACTACCCACCTAGCTGGTTATAATATTCTAGTTTTTAATTATGTAAAAATCTCTGCGGGCCTGCCTCTACTTTTTAAAGGGGCAATTCGCGAAAAAAGCTCAAAATCAGATATTGCATAATTTGGCGATGTTTACACCTAATGTTCTCAACAACAAATGTTTCAGAAAAATGAAACATGCACGGCCTTGGAAAAATGTTATCTTATGAGCAACATCCCGAAGAGAAATCTCGCCTCTGGTTGTCATCAAACTTCATGGAGGACTACTCGACGTAACTACAAACATATACCTCAAATCGTGTGCATATCATCCAGATTCCGAGTGCTGCCGCTTTCATTGGAATTTGAGCGATCCGAAGTCCTCTGAGGATACACTGTTATACTTGTATGTCATTTGAAACATGTTGAAGTCGGCTGATCTACACGAAACTATCCTCACACCGGTCATTTGTCATAAACATGTAAGTTATTACGATGGCGTGAGGCTGTATTTCTCCATGAAGTTTCCATCGGTCGCCCCAAAGAAGACGAGAAATGG